TTTTTTAGAGTCTAAATCTTAAAATTCTAAAYCCTATGGGTGTAAATGATAACCGCATAATTTCTGCTGAATTTATGCTGAATTACAGAATTTGCTGAATTTCTGTTAAATTGCAGAATTTGCAGAATTTGCTAAATTTCTGCTGAATTGCAGAATTTGTTGAATTGCAGAATTTGCTGAATAWATGGTAACTTAAATGGTAACTGCGGAATTTGCAGAATTTGTTGAATCTGTTGAATTTGTTGAATGTGTGTTACCATTTAGTGCCTTAATAATTAGCTGTCTAACCATTAAAACGCTTGGCTACGATATGTTGTATATATTATACAATATTACCGATATTGACCTTGCCTAAGCAGTGAAGGTTACGACGCCGTCACAAAATCACAACGGATTCGTCGAAAAAACGAGATTTTGTGGCCTAAGGAAGACACCTTGAAATTCATACGCAACTATGTAGACACAAGACTTTTTCTTTCTCTGGCATATATAAGAAAGAGACTTTGAGATTTATGGTTGCAGTTACGGAGGGGGAGGAGAAAATCACGGTTATGGCTGTAGCCTCTAACATGAAGATGGTGGTCTCGTAAATCATGGATGCGATGGTGGTGATTACGATCTGAATCAACATGATGCCGAAGGAAACTATGGTCGTGGTTACGGCGGAGGTTTCGACATCGCGACGGTGGTTTAAAAAATCGTCGCGACGGTTGTGGTGATTCATTGTAATCGAAATTAATCGGAAGTTATACATGACAATGGCATGGTCTGAAATTGAAGATAAAAAAAAAAGAGCAAAATTGAGATTTTATTAGAATATATAGTTACTCATTAAAATACTTCATCTTCATAGCTATTTTCTTTATTATTGTCCTCAATATAAATATACGACAAATTGACCCTTTAATATTTAGGGAGCTACCCAAACACTCAGAAAAAAAAGTAATTTATGCGGTAATTAATTAAAAGTGATATAAACCCATCTTGCATCAACTTGTCCCTCCGATCAACGTCTAAAACAACTAGCAGAAGAGAGTGAACTCAAAAACCCATGGAGACAACTAGCAGAAACCTAGACACATCACCACCGTCTCTCGTGGCCGAGACAATCCTATCGGAGAAGGAGAAATCCGACGTTAAGTTCCAAGAAATCCCCGTCGTGGATCTAAGTAACCCCAGTGAAGAGCTTGTGGCGCATGCGGTGGTCAAAGCAAGCGAAGAATGGGGGATTTTCCAAGTGGTTAATCACGGAATCCCGACCGAGCTAATACGGCGTTTGCAAGAAGTTGGGACGGAATTTTTCGAGCTACCCGAAAAGGAGAAGGAAGCCGTAGCGAGGCCAGCTGATGCAGTGGACATAGAAGGTTATAGGAAGATGTACGAGAAAGATATAGAAGGTAGAAACGCATGGGTCGATCATCTCTTTCACAGGGTTTGGCCACCATCAAAAGTCAGTTATACATTTTGGCCAAAAAATCCTCACGACTACAGGTTCGAATCCATCTTCTTCTTTTTTTGTCATTATACTAACACAGACAGAGCAGACATACAACACAATAAATTACATGTTTTGGTCGGAGACTCGAAATTAATCAAATTTTTATGCACAAAAGAAATGTTCATGCATGTCAC